GGCCGTCGACGCGTTCCCGGCGGCGACGGCGCGTCCGCGGCCGAGCGCTTCGGCGCCGGCGCGTCCGCGGGCGACGACGGCGCGGCGGCGGCGACGGCGCGGCGCGCGCGGCCGCGCTTCGGCGCCGCGGCGGCCGCGGGGACCGCGGCCGCCGAGGCCGGCTGCGCGGTGGCGACGGCGGCGCCGCCGCGGCGCCGCGCGGCGGCGGCGGTGGCGCGCACCTTGATGAGCAGGCGGCGCGCCGCGCCCACCGAGCCGAGGTTGTAGGGCCGGATGGCCTGCTCGTACGAGCGCTGCGCGATCTCGCCGCGCTCGAAGAGCTCGACGACGACCGCTTTGCCATTCATGAGGTCGATCTCCGGGAGCGCCGCGGGCTCGCGGCGCGCCGCCCAGGCCTTCCGGCGCTCGGCCATGGCCGCCGCCGCCTGGGTCGCCCGCGTCTTCTTCAAGTTCGGTTTGGGGACTCCGGTCTGTCCGGCCGAGAGGTTCTTCGAGATCGCCGCCTTCTGCTCCGTCGTCCGCGCCGCGATCGTCACCTCGAAAGACGCGCGCCACTTGTCGAAGCCGCCGTCCTTCATCGACGCGCTCCGCTTGTCGAAGCCGCCGTCCTTCATCGACGCGAGCCACTTGTCGTAGGCCGCCTTGCTCTTGCTCCGGAGCCGGATCTCCCCGTCCCACTCGTCCACCGCGTAGCCGTCGAAGGCGTGGCACCCGCCGCCGAGCGCCGTGTTGGCGCTGTAGTCGCCGGTCTGGATGAAGCGCGACTCGATGGCGAGGAGGATGCCCTCGTAGAACTCGCGCCGGCCCTGGCCGAACGCGGAGGGCGCCACGCCCAGGCAGCGGAAGCTCCCCAGGAACCGGCGCCCGACGGCGGGGTCGTCGCGCTTCTCGCCGCGCTTGACGAAGAGGTCGAAGTGGGGCTGCATCTTCTTCGGGAGCTTGCCCCGGGCGCCCAGGGCCGCGTGCCGCCGCGCGCGCTGCAGCACGTAGTCGAGCGCGAGCGGCTGCGCCTTGGCCGCGTCGCCGCGGTCGAGGCAGCGCAGCAATTCCGGGCCCCGTCGCCGCCAGTCAGCCTCCTCCGGCATGTACGACCCGACGTAGCTGGAATCGCAGGCTTCGCTCGTGTACATGAAGCCGCCATCCGAGCCGCGCGGGCGCGTCGCGGGCGCCTTCTCGCC